AAATGTAATTTAACATTTAACATTTTTAGTTCTCGTTTAAATTTATATGTTAACTTATTTTATATATATTAATATATTGTCGATAAGTATACTGCAGATTAAAACCGAACCAACCCGCAATTTATGGTTTGGTTTGGTTTGGTTCGAAAAATAAAATGGTTTGGTTTGATTTGAAAAAATTTCAAACTGCATGAAATGGTTTGAATTGAAAATATGACACAAACCGCCCAAATCGAACCGCGTTCACCCCTAGAATTAGGGTTCCAAAAATATGTTGTTATATATATTTTTAGCACTTCCATTGCACAAGAAAAAACCTTATTACTTTAAAAAAGATTAAATCCGATCATTACTGAAACTGTTATAGAATTTACCAAAATCATTAACATATGCTAAGGGTAACTTAGCAAATGTTGTTTCGCTGGTCTCACTACAGTTGTAAAAAGTCACATGCCAAACTTCCATTAACATAGACCAACAAAAGCTCAATTCAAAGTGTGTACAAGGGCAACATCAATTATTTCAATTAACTTCTGATTACAACACCGATAAATTAAGTACAATTCTAGTCGACCACATGAATTCTTTTGCCTCACTCGTTTGGCTCATTCCTAGGTTTATAAGAAGAGCCGAGATGACCATATACTCATCAATTGTCAGAGATCGTTTGTATTTGATCGTGTGAATAAAGGGTATTGTGTCTTTGGACGAGAGAAGCTCAAGAAAGTCTCTCAAGCTGCTCCCCTTATAACTCTTTGGACGCTCTTCATCCACTAGCTTTGCAGCAGGCTCGACTATTTCATCCATTCCGAGGCTGTAAAGATTGGCTATAGAAAACCTAGTACCATTATTTGAACTCGGAATGGCTCGATGCAATACACTTTTGTACAAACCATTGCTTATAACCTCCAAATGATCTCCCACTATGATTTCGAACGACCCTTCGATCCTGCAAACACTCTTCCATGTGCTATCCAACCTGTCCACGATATGGAGCCCTGGGGAACTCTGCAGAAGAATGGTGATGATGCTGTGATCCGTATGCGCAGCTACACCTGTTTTTACGTTTGATCCCAAGCATTGAGGATAGGAATTTATGCCGATCATTTGCGCGCCATGTTCGAAATTTTGTTTCAAGTGTGTTGGGCTTAAGTTTAAGCTCTCCATGATTGCTCCAAAAAGCTCAATGCCTAATTTTCTGACTTCTGTTGCATAGATTCCCATTTTTTCCCTATTACATTACCAAAGAACTGTTAGTAATATTTGCAATATTTTTCAATGAAAGGAATGGTAAAAATGCTTGTAGTAACATTTTGTTAAAACTTCAAAAGAATATATTAAAATTAGGACACACTACAAGATTAAAGAAAAACATACATTCATCCTTAGATCAATTCTAAGCAGTAACTTTCAATTACATTGCAAAAATATCAGTGGGATCAGTCGCTGAACTTGTGAAGAAATTTCAGTCAAAACACATAATTTTTACTTTTCTTTGTTTCAATTTAGTCACCAGCTTTCAAACACATCTCTATGCCGTTAGGAATTAACAGCCACCTTGGACATTTCCTTGAGCTATACCATGTCAAATTGGCATTAGACTGGTGTTAGTAGCATTATTCTACAAGTTTAGAGAGTGATTTGCGATAAAATCATATAGTGATACACGTGATCTTTTTTCTTTAAGTTGAGTGGTCATCTTTATCCTAATACATTTCAATGTTCAACTCTAGAAAACTGTATGATAAAAAGTTGAGTCATGCTTGTTTCAGTCAAAAAAATCTGATTAAAATCTAAGTCAAATCTACTAAAAGTACGATTTTATATAAATAATACTATTTATCATCACGATGATGGAATATCGGTGATGTGACAACTCATTATCCCTCATATTTTCTTTCTCCTGTCCCCTTTCATAAAAATTGAACCGTCAAATTTCATTATTTTATATAGATGGTCACATGATCGATGTTTCATTATTATAATAAATAACATTATTATTTTTTATAAACATAAAAGGGGTAAATACAAAAAATAACTATTGAAATTACAGTCTAGTCCTTAAACTTTTAAAATTATTCCATTACACCCAATAACACATAACAATAAAAAATTAATAAATGACATATTAAAAAATATTTTTCTAGAACGTCCTAGTTTATACAAATTTAGGAAAAAGATAAAATAAAAAAAAATAGAAACCTTTTTTAATTTCTTTAAACATTTATTTTTTTCTAAAAAAACATGTTAAAGAAAAAGGAAAGAAAAAAAAAGGGTTGATCATACCTATAATTGGGAGGATTTGAAGGCCATAAATTGAGAAAATGATCAATAGGATGTGCATACAGCTTAAGGAAGTCTCTTGAAAGCATCCCATTTTCATGGCATCCAACTTGTACTCTACCAAATCTAACTGGCTTCTGTACATCTTCAGACATGAGCTCCTCCTCCTTCATCGCCATTGGCAAATCAAAGAAATTTGAATTCACATTCAAAGCATCTTCGATTACCGAATCGGGTATCCCATGATTGATAACCTAAATTTAAATCCCAACAAAACGAAAGGACTGCATATCATATACTGTAACATATAAGAACGAAAAAGAGATTAAAAAGAGATGTGAGGGTGAGAGAGAGAGAGAGAGAAAGCGAGAGATTGAGTACATGAAAGAAACCAAAGTTTCGACAAGCTTCATGGATTTTCTTGATGACAGAATCATGGTGTAGGAGAGAAAAGTCGATGATGGGCAATTTTTCAATGATTTGTATAGTCTCCTCCATGTATCTAGATCTTGAGCAGACAGATTTAGGAGGTGTACTCAACTGAAGGGGTCTAAAAGTTTGATAGATTTTTAAAAATTATAAATTTCACGAATTTTAATAGATTTTCACAAATTTTATGAAAATCTCATTAAAAATTGTGAAGTTTCAAAAGATGTTGTTACAAGTATTTTTTTTAAGTTTCAAATCTTTTAAAATTCATCTATGGATAAATCCTTATAAATCCATTAGTTACCGAGAATATCTAAAATTTAAAGAATTTCATTGAAATTCATTAAAATCTCAGTTAGAAATACCTAAATTTTAATGGATTTCACTAAAATTTCAATTGGAAACACCTAAATGCAGAAGAATCTTTAAAATCCATAAAAATTTCAGTTGATGTCATATTCATCAAAATCTCACTTGAGGACATCTTTAAAATTCATGTTTATTGAGTTTGTAGTTCAACCATTGATAATCACTTTACTGGTCGTTGATTTGGCATATTAACGCCTGTTAACTATAATAAAATTTGTTTTTATAAAATAAAATAGTAATTGTAATTGTTCAATCTTTGAATCCTAAATAAAATTTGAAAATTTTCAATTAGCAATGATCTACAAGGTTAATGAATTTATATTAACGGTTTTTTTTTTAGTTTGTACTCAGTGATTGAGAGCAAAAGGTCTCGGAAATATCGATGCAAATATTTGGTTAAATCAAACCATTTGAAGCGTTCCAATATAAAACTGGAGTGATGACAACTATCGATCTATAAATTAGGGCTCAACATAACCAGCCAACTGATCTTCAGGATGATTACAAAAATTTCTAAATTCAATATATAGAAAGATAGAAAAGGTATCTCACAAAGGGAGGTGGGTGATAAGTGCATTTTTGTGCAATTATTCGGGCCCATTTTACTAGGTTTTTGT